TTTGTATTAAAAGGAACAATGAACTGTTAGAGGGATATGTCAAGAGAAACTATTTTAAGTCTAACATAGGGATGTTAGAGAAAAAAATCAAGACTAGTTGAAATCACTGTTGACTGGAATAAATGATGAATAAGTGAGATAGTGAGGAGGTTCATAGAAGTCTGAAAAGGACTTAGAGGCTGTTATATGGAATAATTTATATGTAAGTTACATATAAATTCCATTAGCAATATCTTTTTGATAATAAATACACAAATAGCCATTTCAAAGTACTATTTTCTGATTGTAAATATTAGTGTTAAAATGTATAAAAAAGAGAACATTATTAAGAGATTTAAAAACATCTGTAAATCGACCCCATCAATATATTGGCTAACAGTCTTTCAAAGACTTTATAGTCATTATAAATAAATTCTATGTAAATCTATTTACAAATTTAATGTTGAGACTTAGTATCTGAAAAGTCTAAGTCTAGTTCTAGACATAGGGATATAATCTTGAGCAAAACACACAAGATCCCTGCTCTCCTGGAGTTTATAGTCTAGCGGTTGGGGTCAAACAATAAATATACAACAGTATCGATCGATACATTTTGTTATATATTAGAAGGTGGTAAAGGCTATAGCAAAAACAAAATAAATGGGTGTCTTGTTTCAGTTGCAATGCTATATAACAAATGACCACAGACTGGGTAATTTTTAAACAATAAAAATTTATTTTTCACCGTTCTGGAGGGTGAGAATTACAAGATCAAGTCATCAGCATTTGGAGCCTGGGTAGGACCTTTTTGCTGCTTCCTCACGCGACGGGAGTGAACACTATGTCCCTAGATGTATGAAGATATAGGGGCAAAAAGAGGACTTGGCTACTTCCTTCCAGCCCTTTGATAAGGTACTGCTGTCATGACTTAATCACTTCCCCTAAGACCCTACCTCTTAACACCACAAAGGAATCAAGTTTCAACACAAGAATTTGTGAAAACTTTAGACCAAAGCAATATGGTAAAAAGGATTTTAAATGCTAAAATAGGGTCAATTTGAAATTTTTTTTATTTTTTTGGAGAGGTTTTCGATAAGGCACGTGCGCTCGCCAGACAGACAGAGAGAGAGACATAGAGACAGAAAGCGAGAAATCACCCCCCAGGAGGGATGGTCACACCGCAATCTCTTCTCCTCCATTCTCCTCTCGGGATCTTGGGCAC